TATAAAGTAAGGAGAACTCATTTGCTGAAGTGGAGATATGAGTTCGCGAAGCGACTCCACGTCCACGCGGACCTTAAAGGTGGATGTCAGGTATGTGGGCTTTGCATATGAAATGTATTTGCAGTTACTTTTGACGTTACGAATGTTGTAGATTGCAATGGGAGTGAGTGCAACGCTTGATGAAGACATACTGACGTTAAATTCGACGGTTCTGTCTCGTGACGGCAAGGAGAGCGTCCACGGTATGTTCAATGATGATTTAAGCATTTCAATGCAGAGATCTCGTCCCTTAGTACTCAATTGCATTTATTTTTTTCATACTATTTGCAGAAAGTATCTCCGGACCTCGTACGGAAGCTGAAGAGCTTGGGAAGAAGCTGGCAGAACGTTTCTGGGCCAACGAGCTGGCGCGAAAGGTGCTAGGCAAGACCCGCGAGAAACGTGCTCTAACGTATGGTAATGCAGAGGCTCCTGGTGATGCTGCTGCTGCTGCTGCTAAATCAATCGTGAAGAAGGCCAAAACTTCTGAATAGGACCTATATGTATTGCACATGCGATCTAAAGACCACCTTGCATGTGCATATATATATGTACCCATGTGTATGAAGACTAGAGATCAGTTACCTAAATGGATAACATATGGATACACTTTTTTGCTGCCTATTTGGTATACATCCATTTAAGTACGAAATGTCTCGGTTCCAGTCAATTCGCAAAGCTTCCAAGACCACCAACACAAGTGACTCTGATCTTTTCATTCAACTGCACGTAACGCTGTTAATCGGCTTAGTTTTGGAGCACCCATTACATCGTAAAAAGGTGAAACTTATCTCTATCTAAGTCTGTGCGTTGCATGCAGAAACACGCACCAGAATCGTCTTTAGCTGCTACTAAAGCCATGTCCAGTGACACTTTGACACGCACTCAGAACAGCCGCGTGCTGCAAGCCTTTCGTGCAATTGGCATTGTGGTTGATGATGTGTCAATTGTGTGGTACGGTATGGGCAAAGCTAGCTTTGCCACTGCATCATTAGGGAAGTCATTCGTCGTGTACAAATGTGACAAATTGACGCCCGTGTTAGTGTCTCCCCAATTGCCCAAGCGCATATCAGCGCTGGCTGTGCAACCCAAGAAACAATTGACTTTTACGGCCTGTGGGTGCCAAATTATTATCTGGAATCGACTGGATAGGGTCAAGACATTGCTGGGTCATAAAGGTACTATTAAGCAGCTGCTGACAGTGGGCAGCAACATTCTCTTCTCGCTCGATGATGAAGGTTGTATCAAGATATGGGACTTGCATACAATGGACATTGTCAATACATTGACATTTCAGATAAGTTTTACACCTACAATTATGCTTCATCCGGATACATATTTGAACAAGATCTTGGTCGGATCGGCACAAGGTGTTTTGCAACTCTGGAACATTCGCAAGATGAAATGCATTTACGACTTTAAGGGATGGGGTAGTGCTGTCACAGCACTGGAACAGAGTCCGGCAGTAGACGTCGTGAGTGTCGGGTTAGCAGATGGACGACTGATGGTACACCACTTGCAACTGGACCAACCTGTGCTGGACTTTCGACAGGAACAGCAAAGTGGAATCACAGCCATGTCTTTTCGAACGGATGCAGGTGCTTCGACTACGCCGCTGGTAGTCTCAGGATCGCGGTCGGGTGATATTGCAGTGTGGAATCTGCAGAGCAAACGCCTTGAGTCAGTCATTACTGGTGCACATGATGGTGCAGTGGTATCGCTGCAGTTTCTGGCCAATGAGCCACTCTTGCTGTCGTCGGGTACGGATAACTCGATCAAGTTGTGGATCTTTGACCACCACCACGGCGGTACCGCTCGCTTGCTCAAGTCTCGTGAAGGCCACCGTGCGCCACCGACGCGCATTCGGTATTACGGTAACAACACCCTTTCTACAATGGCAGACGGTGCTGACGGCACATGCTGTCAGATTTTGTCGGCTGGTCAGGACCGGGCTTTCCGTGTCTTCCACACGGCTCGTGAGCAGCAGAGCAGGGAGCTGTCCCAAGGCCCAGTTCTTAAAAAAGCGCGTAGCTTAAATGTGCGCGTGGAGGACTTGAAGCTTCCGCCTATCGTGCAGTTTGCTGCTATGGAGACACGCGCCCGCGATTGGGCGAACGTAATTACGTGTCATGAGAACGAAGTTGCAGCCTACGTGTGGCGCTTCGATCACCGCGTTATCGGCAAGAAAGTGCTTCGTCAGTTTGACCCGAGCAACCGCACTCCATCTGGCAGCGTCGAAGATTTGCGCCGCAAAAAGACACAGGCTACTAGCGTGGCTATCAGTTCGTGTGGTAATTATGCACTTGTTGGTAGTTTGGGCGGAGCTATTTATCAGTACAACATGCAGTCCGGAGAAGCTCGTGGTTCGTTTCCGGTGGCAGCAACCCCGAAGCCGGAGATTATTCGCTCGCTCGTGCTACCTGGGACAGATTTGTCAGCACTACAGGACGATGAAACTGATACAACCGCTGCTGATGCTCATGACGGACCTGTCAGCGCGGTGGCTGTTGATGCTCTTAATAACACCCTGGTCTCTGCAGGAATCGATGGCAAACTGAAATTCTGGGGCTTCAAGAAGCATGAGCTGCGTTATGAGATCGACATTGGCTCTCCTATTAGCCAGATGGAATTGCACCGCGATAGTAACTTGATATGTGTGGCGTGTGATGACCAAGTGCTTCGTCTCTTTGACGTGACAACCTACAAGCTTGTGCGTCGTTTTGCTGGACATTCGCACCGTGTGACGGACATGACTTTCAGCTCGGATGCTCGGTGGCTGTTCTCATCATCGGCTGACGCATCATTGCGCGTGTGGGATATCCCGACGGGCAAGTGTGTCGACTGGATGCGGTTTCAAAAACCTGTGACTGGTTTGGCTGTGTCGCCTACAGGCGAGTTTCTTGCTACTACGCACGTGAGCAATGTTGGCATTTTCTTGTGGGCAAACCGCAGCCTCTTTACAGAAGTATTCTTAGATTCGGAGCCTAGTAAGCCCGTGCTTATGGACATGCCTGTGCCTCTCAATGAGGTGGACAATAGCGACCAGCTTGGATTTGGCACTGAACGTAACCCTCAACTTTCAGTGACAAGTGTTAACGAGCAGCGGCCTGAAAGCACAAAGAAGGTAGACAGCGAAGAGAGCTCGGACCCGCTGGATGCTTCACTCATTACACTGTCAATGGCCCCACGTGCATTCTGGCAGTCTCTGTTTAATCTTGAGCTTATCAAGAAGCGTAACAAGCCTATCGAGCCTCCCAAGGCCCCGGAGCAGGCTCCTTTCTTCCTTCAAACAGCGCGCAAGGACGATGTACACCCTACATTTGTCCCCGCTTCTCCTGAAGCGAACAAAGTAGGTGAGAAGGAGGGCGACGAAGATATGGTCATCAAAGGTTGGGGCATTGGTGATGACGATGAGGCTTGGGGTGATGACGACGAAGAAGATGAAGCCGACATGACTGCTCTAAGCTCACGGATTGTCAAGACGGAGGGTATGGTTACTTCTCGTTGCAAATTGGCGACGTTGCTGGCAAAGGCGGTGCAGGAAGAGAAATTTGAGGATCACACAGGCTCGCGCTTCAATGAGGTAGCCGCGTACATTCAGTCGCTTTCTGCCTCAGGAGTAGACGTTGAAGTGAGCACGCTGTGCATGGGTGACTTCGATGAAGAGGGCAAGAAACTATTGGGTTTCTTTCTGGAATTTTTGCATGAGGAGATGCGCACTCGCCGTGATTTCCAGGTGCTTCAAGCATACTTGAATCGTTTTTTGAAGCTGCACGAGGAGCTGTTGGTCGCGGAACCGACGCTCTTAGCACAAGTGGACAAGTTGAGAGCTGTACAGCAGCAACAGTGGCAGCACCTGCAGAAGCTGTTACACAACAATTTGTGTCTGGTCCAGTATCTCAGCAAGATTCAGATGTAAGTTAACGAGTGTGATGTGAGAAGCGCTGTAGCTGCTTGCTCCTGGCAATCGCTCTAAAAGGAAAAGCTTAGAATAATTCAATGCACATGGATCAAACAACACATGATTGTGCCAAGAAAGCTTTGATTCTATCGATCCTCGGACCATTCCTTTTTGCAGATTCTTCAGGACAAGGAACGTCTGTACTAACAAGCACTACAAACCTCATCAAATACAGCGAATACAACGAATGTCAGTGATGCCTCATTCTCAAATACCTGCCATGCATCAATTGATCATGTGCTGGATGATGCATCTGCTTGAAACGGAACTTCAAACGAAAAGCACAAGCTGTGATCGATAAATGCGATGACAGGGTAGAGTGGCGACGAGGGCAATGAAGGCACGAGAATGTAGTCATCGTGGCATTTTACAACGCTCAAAGCGGTCGCTGTAACTGCTGAATCTCCCATGATAAGGATTCCGTCTTTGAGACGAGCCCCTAAAGCACGTACTCGAGGCTTGAAAAGGTACAAGATGCAGAACTTGTTTTTCAGCTCATCCAGTTGTGCCGCGACCTTCCGATAGTGTGCTTCATGCTTTTTCGGTCTGTAAATGAGCTAGGCTTGACGGCTTTCAACCCTCAGCTTTTCTTCTGAGACGGATCATCGTTCAGTATATACCTCGCCGCCGAGACTAGAAGCGTGGTACCAAGCTGCAGGCTGAGCTCGATGGTATTAACAAGCAGGACGGCATCAAGTTCTTGGAGGGGTATCTGCAATAAATCAGTGTTGGACCAGATCGTGATCTCCATGACGATGAAGTACAAGCTAAAGCACAAGCTTCGGAAGCTAGTAGATGGACTCGTGATCCGCGTCAAAGGCGATCAAAAGGAAGCTGCGACTACTCGTGCTGTGAACGGTGACCGCGACGCTGCTGTCGAAGCAACGAATGTCAAGGAAGCCGGTCAGGAGATCATTGTAATGAAGAATAAAGCTCGACACGGACTCGAAACTCAGCTGGGAGATATCAAAGGCCATGAGCACAATCATCCAACGGCAGCTTCATGATCTTCAGTACGTACTCGGACGACAGCCTTCAATCAACATTGCCACAAAGTAGCTTTATGGTTGTGATGAAAGAAAAGGTGGCGGCAAGAAGGTGCCACACGCTACGGACTCGTCAAGTCTGGATAAATCTATGGCACCCGTCAAGACGTTCTATCACAAGTGCGTGATGTCGTTACACTCTGTTGCTATAAAGTCTTCTCGTTTTTGATTACAACGTCAAGAACACTTTGAATGCATGATCATGATTTCTTTCTTATCAAGACTAACTTTAACAAACTTACACAATGCTGTAACTTTAAGATAAGTTATAGCATTGTGTAAGTCCTCCAATAGCTACCTCAACCTCACCGCTTCAAATGTGACAGCCATACCAACATGTTGTGTACTGACGTGTACTTACTTGACTGAATCGCCAGCAATCGTAAGCACATCAGCGTTGTCTACTAGGGTCGTGGTGGAGGTTCTGGTGTCACGTGGCTAATCCTCTTTCTTTGTTCCTTCCTCAAGCGTGTTAGATGAATCATGTGCTTTTTTACCTGCACCACCAGCGTCATCCCCAATTTCGCCGACCAAGCGAGAGGTGCCACTTTCTCCACCTTGGGCCGCGTTGACGACATCATTTGCTCCTTCACCAGTAAGTGCGTTATTCTTTGCACCACTCTTTGGTTGTTTCAATAGTTCGGCGAATTTCTTCATTATCATTTTCATACTTTTTCCTGGTATTTTAGGCACAACGACGTTATCTCTTTCATTAATACCAACACCCCCATCAGCGACAGCATTTTCTTTTTCTGTGATGGAATGTACAGAATTTGAGTTCCCTGTCACTTCACTTGTGGTCGCCTCGGAGACAACATTCGTGTTTGGAACATCATTCCCTCCTTCACCAAGTGGTGGTCGAGAATCGGCAGAATTCGTAGTTGGCACTGGCTTCGTCTTGCGGTTGAATATGCTTAATGCACTGTTAATTTTGTTGTTGAGAGCTTGACGTGACTTTTTCAAAAAGGTCGGCGATTTCTTTCCAACGTTGCCTTCTTCAGTCGTAGCTGAAGCCCGCAAGCTAGCGGCATCGTTTTCTCCTTCACCAGCATGTATTTCAGCATTTTCACCACTCTTTGGTTCCACAACATTTTCTTCTGCGACTGGTTGCACTGGTTCGTGTTCCCCTGTCATTTCTTTCGTCGTTTCAGTTAAAGTGTCGGCAGAATTCGTAGTTGGCACTGGCTTCGTCTTGCGGTTGAATATGCTTAATGCACTGTTAATTTTGTTGTTGAGAGCTTGACGTGACTTTTTCAAAAATGTCGGCGATTTCTTTCCAACGTTGCCTTCTTCAGTCGTAGCTGAAGCCCGCAAGCTAGCGGCATCGTTTTCTCCTTCACCAGCATGTATTTCAGCATTTTCACCACTCTTTGGTTCCACAACATTTTCTTCTGCGACTGGTTGCACTGGTTCGTGTTCCCCTGTCATTTCTTTCGTCGTTTCAGTTAAAGTGTCGGCAGAATTCGTAGTTGGCACTGGCTTCGTCTTGCTGTTGAATATGCTTAATGCACTGTTAATTTTGTTGTTGAGAGCTTGACGTGACTTTTTCAAAAAGGTCGGCGATTTCTTTCCAACGTTGCCTTCTTCAGTCGTAGCTGAAGCCCGCAAGCTAGCGGCATCGTTTTCTCCTTCACCAGCATGTATTTCAGCATTTTCACCACTCTTTGGTTCCACAACATTTTCTTCTGCGACTGGTTGCACTGGTTCGTGTTCCCCTGTCATTTCTTTCGTCGTTTCAGTTGGTTTGACAACACTATCTTTTTCTGCGTCGGGACGTGCTATTTTCGGCTCAGTTGTTACGTCTTTATTGTCAAGATGAGGTGATTCTTCTTTTCCTGTCACTGTTTGCGTATCCACTCCTTCTTTCATATCTGTCACTTTTTGAGTCTCTGACTCTTTGTTTGTGGCTAAAGGTGTTGTTGACTCTTTAGCTTTTGCGTCGTGTTTCGGGGCTCGATGTAATCTCTTGAGTTGCTGTTGAAATCTACCGTAGATCTTCTTTAGGAGAGCTATAAACTGCTTCATAGCAGACGAAGAGTAGCCTTTCATCTTCTCCAAAACGCCTATTTTCTTGGCCATAACATCGGCATTGGGCACGAGAGTTTCGGCCCCGCCTTTGATGTTTCCTAACGTCTCTGTGAGCTTTAATCGGCCTCGCCTGTGCGCACCCCCCACGACTTCGCCCACTCCCCCCTTTCCTTAGCTTGCGATGGATTTCATCCGTCCGCTCGTGTTGAGAATTCGTATCCACGGTCTTGACTTGGATCAAGCCTTTCGAGCTTGCGACGATGCCGTCGCAAGCGATGCAGGTGAGAGTCACGAGCAGGAGAAACAAGTTCAAGCGCATGGTTTTCTGGGTATCAACCAATTCAGAAATGAACAACTTTGGAGTCAACGGGTTCTTGGACTTTTCAATGGACACACGGAAATGCTACAGATGCTCGTTGAATACCATTAGCTAAAGTATTGGATTACCAGAATACTATATCAATTGTCATAGCTATTCTACGACACCACGGTGGCGACGTCTTTGTTTTTGGTGTCTCAATACGACTCTTTTCCTCTATTTACTTACAATTCTATGGATGCCTGGCGCTGTGACTTGTGTGCCAAGCGCCTTTCCTCCTTCGATCGATCTTCGGATCCGATTTGATACGTATCTCCTTCCCGGGAGACTTCTATTCTTTTTTCTGACAGGGACTGATCGCTTCGTCTCCTACTGTCTTTTGCTGCCAAACCTGGCATTAAACAACAATTATGATTGTTTTTTGGATGCTTACTAAAGGTATTGAAGCTATAGGTTGTATCAGGAACGATAGATGATACAAATTCAGATGCACTTGATTGATAAAGTGATGAAATGAACCCTAAAGGATAACAAGTTTGGTTGTACATTCTGTAAGAAAGCTCCTATACGAGTGAAAATACGTGGCTGTTGATAAGCCATGACTTTGAGGGAAATGACTATCGGATGGGGTCGAGTCTATCTAAGTTTTGTGAAGATAATGTCAATGCATCTCCCTCCTGCTTCGCCCAACTTATACTTATAAAAAGCAAGATATAATGCCAGTAGTATTATTTACCCATCATGCTATCATGCTCTGCCTAGCTGATAAAAAAGCACGGATGGGACTCTTGATGTCTCATAGATCTTGAGATCTGTTCACATTTGCTTGGAATTCTGACCCTTTCGCTTGGAAGTTTTATGCTTGCGGACAAGCTTGTAAGCAATTTTACGCGTACTTTTCTTCTAGTCTTTTCTTCATCCAATCCAATTATCTTAAGGCAAAAACAAACATACCGGATTGGTTGATATTAAATGCGTCTTTCGTCGTCTTTCAATATACAAAAGACCTAATGTCAGCCATGGCCACGGGGTTTAAGAACGCCTTCCAGGTGCTGACTCCCGTGCGGAATTTTGGCGTAGGTAAGCGAGTTACACGTGGTATTTGGTCCAAATATGCAGAGCCTTCTTACTGGGAAGTGGTGCGCATTCTTCCATCCCCCGACCTCAAACACGGCAAAGTCTTTGGCAGATTTACGTTTCGTGGTGCGTTGAAATGAAAATTCTGAAGGATGTTTGACATTATTGACTTGATATTTGTATGGGTATTGAACAGGCAAGACGGATTCTAAAGTAAAGCGGATGAATGGCGTCTTGAAGAAAGATTGGAGTTTGATCGAGATGTAAACAGTCTTATCAAATGACGTCTTGTAACTCTGAAACTACAGTTGATAGATTGATGAGTATGAGAGAATGGATGGGAATACTCAATGAGGCAATCGATGCCGGGGTATTTTGTCATAGTAGCAATGTTCTCTATGTTGTTTAGTTGGTTTTCTAGGAGGTTAAAGCATTGCTTGATACTTCAACAATATTGTGACGTTCCATGTCCAGCGACTTTGCACGAAGCGACTCAGCTTCTAGAGTAGCCACATGAAGGTTTATCAGGATTATGGGCTCGTTTCAGCGTTGAGACATACTCTGTATCAATTGATCTGCATTCCTTGGTCGCCGACTATTCCTCGAAGCATGAAACTGCCACGTTTAGCTCGAATTGTTATCCGAAGGCGACATGGTGCCCATCTAATCCGTACAAATCGCCACAATATGGACGACAAGTGCGTCGTCATGTATTGTCGCAAGACCAGATATCTGATCTTCAAGTCGTGCTAAGGGAGTGACGACAAGCTCGTCCGTCTGTTCCCACTCGCCACTCAGTTTAATAATAATAACCTTTGACTAATGCTCCTTCGCACGCTATTCGGCGCCTTTTGTCTCTACTGTGTATCATGGACCGGTAGCTCCGGTCTTTCGACCATCACGAACTCTGCAGATCTTGCAGCCGTTGAATTGTCGACCAAAGTCCACGTGCTACTGGTTATGAGGACGAAAGACGAGACGCAGGAACAAAGTCTGGAGGAGCTGGTGACCACGGCATATCCGGCTCTACTTGCTATCAAGAAGGAACTCGAGGGACTTGTCACCTTTAGTGTCGTCGATATTGCGTCCCATAAAGCTTCGATCGGCAACAAGTGGCAGCTCACCAAGCTCCCTGCACTCGTACTGTACAAAGATCCACCCAAGGAGAACCCCTACACTGGGAAATTGTATCGAGATGCAATGAGGATACAATGTCCTGTAGACTTCGCGATGCTTGAGAATGTAAAAAAGCTCAAAAGGACATTAAAACAAGCGATACTGATGGAATTTGTACAGGAACTTAAAGGTGACGAAACGACGTTACTAAATTATAAAATCCATGATGAAGTATGAAGTGTTAAAGGCACAGAACTTGATGACGTACAATGAATTGAAGGGTTTCGTGGAGCCTTTTGTGACACACGAGAGAAGTGGAGGTTATGCTGAAGAGGAAAGGAACAAAGGAGGAAAGAAAAACTCAAAGTATATCAAGTTCTTTACAGAAAAGGAATTTAATGACTTGGTCATGCAGCCGGATGTGATTTGGATTACGCTCAGCCATACACAGCTGTGCCGATGTTTCATCCGTAATAGTCTTGAGCATCTTGATCGTCTACAACCAGAGAGCAAAAGTAACCATCAGATGGAAGACACTCACACACCATCACACAAGACGCGATTTTCTCCACTTTGTCCATTCATTTCTCACCTCTTCATCGTCTGCGCGACATTCAACACCAATACTTCCTTGTCCAACACCGTATCCAAACGTGTCCATTGGAAGAATCTCATCAATCCGTTCACCTAAATCTCCACGTCGGAAACCACAAGCCGCAACAATGATTGCGTCATAGTCATCGGCCTTGTCCAATTTCGCTAATTTCGTCTGGATATTCCCTCTCAGTGTCTTGATCTTGAAGCTTGGAAATTGGCTCCTCACCAGAGCTTCACGTCTCAATGAACTCGTGCCAATGACGCTTCCTTTGGGCAGCTCTTTAAGTGTCTTGAGACCCTTGGCTTTGTGCTTGGGATGGATGATTGCTGCGTCCTCTGGACTCTCTCGCTTTGTAATGGCAGCCAATACAAGACCATCCGGTAGCGTCGTAGGCATGTCCTTGAGTGAATGTACAGCAAAGCTGGCAGTTTTGGCCAGCAATGCTTCTTCCAGGCTCTTGGTAAAGAGACCAGAGGTAGTGGACGTGCCCAAGTCACTTAAATGACGATCCAGTACCTGGTCCCCCACTGTGTCCTCCTGTCCTACAACAAAATTAATACCCGAGAAGCGAGATTCAAGCATACAAATGACAGTCGTGGTCTGTGCCATGGCCAATTGGCTCTTCCGGGACGAGAACGAAGATCGTGCGCTTACGAGTGGACGACATGTGGACGTAGTGGAGGAGGTGTCTTCAATAAGTCTGTGTTAGACCAGGCCGTGATCTTCTTACTCTGCAGTACCAGCTTCGGGAGCAAGTGGATGGACTCGTGATCCGCGTCAAAAATATCAAAAGGAAGCTGCGACTACTCGTGCTGTGAACGGTGACCGCGACGCTGCTGTCGAAGCAACGAATGTCAAGGAAGCCGGTCAGGAGATCATTGTAATGAAGAATAAAGCTCGACACGGACTCGAAACTCAGCTGGGAGATATCAAAGGCAATGAGCACGGTCATCCAACGGCAGCTTCATGATCTTCAGTACGTACTTGGACGGTAGCTTTCAATCAACATTGCCACAAAGTAGCTTTATGGACATGATGAAGGAACCTGACGACAAAAAGGTGCGACACGCTACGGACTCGCCAAGTCTGGATAAATCGATGGCACCCGTTAAGACGTTCTATCATAAGTGCGTGATGTCGTTACACTCTGTTGCTATGAAGTCTTCTCGTTTTTGATTACAACGCTAGAAACACTTTGAATGCATGATCATGATTTCTTTCTTATCAAGACTAACTTTATACAAGCTTACACAATGCTGTAACTTTAAGATAAGTTATAGCATTGTGTAAGTCCTCCAATAGCTACCTCGACCTCATCACTTCAAATGTGACAGCCATACCAACATGTTGTGTACTGACGTGTACTTACTTGACTGAATCGCCAGCATTCGTAAGCACATCAGCGTTGTCTACTAGGGTCGTGGTGGAGGTTCTGGTGTCATGTGGCTGATCCTCTTTCTTTGCTCCTTCCTCGATCCTGTTAGAAAATTCATGTACTTTACCTTCGTCGGTTTTAGGATGCATATAACGTCCATTCTCTAAAGCTGTCTTTAACTTCTGGTGACCGATCAACTTCTGAACTGACTCCGTCAGTTTTACAATATCTCTTTCTCTTTGCGCCTTTGTTACCATCAAAACTGGATCATCTATACCTGCGCCACCAGCGTCATCCCCATTTTCGCTGACCAAGCGAGAAATGTCACTTTCTCCACCTTGGGCCGCGTTGGCGACATCATTTGCTCCTTCACCAGCAAGTACTTTATCATTTGCACCACTCTTTCGTTGTTTCAATAATTTTTTGGCGTATTTTTTCCCGTTAATCATCTTCTGCACTAAAGCCAGCTGGGCTTTCTTCATCATCTTTTGAATACTTCTTCCTGGTTTTCCAGACACAACGACGTTATCTCTTTCGATATTAGCAGCATTCCCATCAGCGACTACATTGTCTTTTTCTGTAATGGCATGTAAGGGATCTTGTTTCCCTGTCACTTCAGTTGTGGTCGCATCGGAGATAACATTCGTGTTTGTAGCATCATTTTCTCCTTTAGCAAGTGGTGGTCGAGAGTCGGCAGAATTTGTAGTTGGCAATGGCTTCGTCTTGCGATTGAATATGCTTAATGCACTGTTAATTTTGTTGTTGAGAGCTTGACGTGACTTTTTAAAAAAGGTCGGCGATTTCTTTCCAACGTTGCCTTCTTCAGTCGTAGCTGAAGCCCGCAAGCTAGCGGCATCGTTTTCTCCTTCACCAGCATGTATTTCAGCATTTTCACCACTCTTTGGTTCCACAACATTTTCTTCTGCGACTGGTTGCACTGGTTCGTGTTCCCCTGTCATTTCTTTCGTCGTTTCAGTTAAAGTGTCGGCAGAATTCGTAGTTTGCACCGGCTTCTTCTTGCGATTGAATATGCTTAATGCACTGTTAATTTTGTTGTTGAGAGCTTGACGTGACTTTTTAAAAAAGGTCGGCGATTTCTTTCCAACGTTGCCTTCTTCAGTCGTAGCTGAAGCCCGCAAGCTAGCGGCATCGTTTTCTCCTTCACCAGCATGTATTTCAGCATTTTCACCACTCTTTGGTTCCACAACATTTTCTTCTGCGACTGGTTGCACTGGTTCGTGTTCCCCTGTCATTTCTTTCGTCGTTTCAGTTGATTTGACAACACTATCTTTTTCTGCGTCGGGACGTGCGTGCTATTTTCGGCTCAGTTGTTACGTCTTTATTGTCAAGATGAGGTGATTCTTCTTTTCCTGTCACTTTTTGCGTATCCACTCCTTCTTTCATATCTGTCACTTTTTGAGTCTCTGACTCTTTGTTTGTGGCTAAAGGTGTTGTTGACCCTTTAGCTTTTGCGTCGTGTTTCGGGGCTCGATGTAATCTCTTGAGTTGCTGTTGAAATCTACCGTAGATCTTCTTTAGGAGAGCTATAAACTGCTTCATAGCAGACGAAGAGTAGCCTTTCATCTTCTCCAAAACGCCTATTTTCTTGGCCATAACATCGGCATTGGGCACGAGAGTTTCGGCCCCGCCTTTGATGTTTCCTAACGTCTCTGTGAGCTTTTAATCGGCCTCCCTGTGCCCCCCCCACGACTTCGCCCACTCCCCCTTTCCTTAGCTTGCGATGGATTTCATCCGTCCGCTCGTGTTGAGAATTCGTATCCACGGTCTTGACTTGGATCAAGTCTTTTGAGCTTGCGACGATACTGTCGCAAGCGATGCAGGTGAGAGTCACGAGCAGGAGAAACAAGCTCAAGCGCATGGTTTGTCTGGGTCTCGTCTGATTCGGGAATGAACAACTTTGAAGTCAACGGGTTCTTGGACTTTTCAATGGACACACGGAAATGTTACAGATGCTCGTTGAATACCATTAGGTAGAGTATTGGATTACCAGAATACTATATCAATTGTCATAGCTATCCTACAACACGACGGTGGCTACGACTCTTTTCCTCTATTTACTTACATTTCTATGGATGCCTGGCGCTGTGACTTGTGTGCCAAGCGCTTTTCCTCCTTCGATCGATCTTCGGATCCGATTTGATACGTATCTCCTTCCCGGGAGACTTCTATTCTTTTTTCTGACAGGGACTGATCGCTTCGTCTCCTACTGTCTTTTGCTGCCAAACCTGGCATTAAACAACAACTAGGGATAGTTTTTTGTATGCTTTCTAAAGGTGTTGAAGCTATAGGTTGTATCAGGAACGATAGATGATACAGATTCATATGCACTTGATTGATAAAGTGATGAAATGGACCCTAAAGGATAACAAGTTTGGTTGTACATTCTGTAAGAAAACTCCTATACGAGTGAAAACACGTGGCTGTTGGAATGCCATGACTTTGAGGAAAATGACTATCGGATGGGGTCGAGTCTATCTAAGTTTTGTGAAGATAATGTCAATGCATCTCCCTCCTGCTTCGCCCAACTTATACTTATAAAAGCAAGATATAATGCCAGTAGTATTATTTACCCATCATGCTATCATGCTCTGCCTAGCTGATAAAAAGCACGGATGGGACTCTTGATGTCTCATAGCTCATAAGCTCGGCTTACGTTTGATTGGACTTTGGCCTCTGCTTGCTATCAAGAAGGAACTCGAGGAGCTTGTCACCTTTAGTGTCGTCGAAAGTGCGTCCCATAAAGTTTCGATCGGCAACAAGTGGCAGCTGACCAAGCTCCCTGCACTCGTACTATACAAAGATCCACCCAAGGAGAACTCCTACACTGGGAAATTGTATCGAGATGCAATGAGGATACAATGTCCTGTAGACTTCGCGATGCTTGAGAATGTAAAAAAGCTCAAAAGGACATTTGAAACAAGCGATACTGATGGAATTTGTACAGGAACTTAAAGGTGACGAAACGACGTTTCTAAACTTTGAGAATTTGGTGCAACAAAAGGTTGACGACGAGGAGACGTTGGTATTGTTGATTTCAAAGCAGAAACACGCGTCCCCGATGTATCGAGCTTTGGCTGCAGAATTTAATGACCAAGAACTGAGTTTTGTGTTTTTAAACAAAGAGGAGAAAGGAACGGAGGAGATTATGAAGATGTTAGTGGTGGAGGAGCTGCCGGTTATGATGATAATGAAATCCATGATGGAGTATGAAGTGTTAAAGGCACAGAACTTGAAGACGTACAATGAATTGAAGGGTTTCGTGAAGCCTTTTACGACGCATAAGAGAAGTTGTAACCAGTGGTGGCATCAACCAGGTTAATAGATTTTGGAGTGGTTTAACAATGGTTAATTGGTTAAACCACATGGTTCATGGGTTAACCAAGAGTTTATTCTTTAAGGATATTAAATCAGTCTAACGCCCTAATGGATGTAGGAAACAGAGATTCTAGATCAAACTTAACGCTTCTGGCATCTGTGAGTCTCTCTTGCGGAAAATTAGGGACATTGTGGTCTGGATAAGGATGACTTGGCAATACTCGGCCCCATCAGTGCTTCCTTCGCAAAACTTCATTCATCATATGTAATGCTCTAGCCTTATCAATGAAATGAACGGATTAATTGTATCCTTGCTCATCAATTTGATCAAGCTCATCAAACGCGGTAGTCCAATCGTCATGGATTGTATCTTGTTCGGTATTGTCGTCGTTTACTTCATCATCACAATCACTTTCAATGCCTTCCATATCAACTATGCCAACTTCATTGTCTCCATCATGGCTTTCAACTGTCTTTTGTTCTTCGGTGTCTATTCGCGGTAATTCTGTGGGCAAAATTATTATCGGCCGTGTAATAGACGCAGTATTGTAGGCCTTCTCGTCCATTTTGGCTACGGATCTTTTCACTTGTGCCAGATGATGTACCTTCTTTAAATGCAGTTAATTTCGCTTTTTCGTCGCAAAATTACCAAACGCGCTGAACAGTCTTTCGCAAGTGGCTGTTTGAATCACAAATGAAAGTAGAAAGATGGCCAAACGTAATGTAAAAGGGCATGCTCGCTTTAGCACCTTCCAAAAATGTATCGGAGACAAGATCAGGAATTGAGCATCTAGTATCGCGTCCTGAACCTAATCATTCACTTTCACAGCAAAAATAGTTGAACTTCTGTGAGGTCACCGATGAACTTCTTATAGTAAAGGATAGAGTATTGAATTATCTTGCGAATCTCAAGCTTTCTTTTCAAAACGTGCGATAATCTGGAATATATTTGCGTACTTGGGATGAAATAGAAAAGCTAGAAGGAACATTGGTTGCTCTTGTTGTTCCCATCGCTTTTCCAATAACCCTTACAATTCATCTGCGTGCTGGCTTGCTTTCGCAAATGCTTGATACAGTAAATCAAACATATTGAGGACATCCGCTAAAGAAGTCGATTTGCGTTGCATTACAAATGATGCCTTTGTCAGTGGTCCAAGTAATTGTTTAGCGTTGCACATTTGCTCAAAAAAACGTCATCGACCATCAGAGCGTTTGGAAAATCACTTACGCCACCTTACTCTGCTTGTATCATCTTTATAGCCGTGAAAATTCGTAATACACTTGCGAAAGGACTCTGTGCACTATTCTAACAAACATCCATAATTTCTTAGCAAGCTATGTGAACATTTATATAGTTTCTTGCATCGGTCTGTCAATCTCACAAGCCATATACTTGCACTCTTGTTATAAGCCATGGTCACTGCTTTTACACGCGCCACAAGGTCCACATGTACCACCTTGAATACATCTTTCACAGTTAAATTTACTTGATGTGCATAAAATTTATCAAAATACATTTGCGGAAAACGTAGTGCTAAAATGCACTTTGCTCTTTGTCATTGACCAGCATTGTCCGTCACCACACACGAAACCCAAATCTTTACTACCTATCATGAACGCAGATTCAATCAGATTTGCAGTTGCTATATCGTAATGTTATCTATTTCTGTTTTTATTGCCGCTTCCATCTCCTAGCGCTTCATCATAGGAAATTCATTTATTCAAAGTGTGGTAAAGTCGATAAAAGAATTTTGTCTAAGTCCTTTTAAAATTATTCTCGATAAATCCGGAACCGAATTATCGGGACTTTTCTCGCCAACGCTTAGATCCCTTTCCCATAACGGTTGGATCACTTTCCCATAACGGTTGGATCCCTTTCTCATAACGGTTAGATCCCTTTCCCCCGTTAAGTCACTTACTAGATTGACTTATTGGGTGTGGTGAAGTCGATCTCTATTCATGGACGATCGAATGAAAAAGTACCGTTGATTCAAGATCGTTTATTTGCTAGTTCAATGAAACCAATGAAGAAGGTATCAATGGTATCGAAGACGATGATGATATGGATTGAAACATACTTAAGGTGAAGATACATGGCATGGATAACAATTCCGAATTATATTGGATTATCATGGAATAGATCACCGTTTGGATTATACTGGATTCCAGTATCGGTTAATCCAATTGGATGGATTAAAATTGTACGGATTATACGTGAAGGTGGAATAGTGAAATTGCACAAAGTGTGAATCGCGACTGTGGAGAAGCGAAGGAGCAATATTTCGCAAAGTGTGGATCGCCCAATATTAAATGTGGTTTACACCTTGTAGATCGGCCGCAATCCGTCGACCGCAATCCGTCATCGCGATCCGTCTTAGAGATCCGTCATCGCGATCTGTCGACTGCGATCCGTCATCGCGATCCGTCGATTGCGATCCGTCATCGCGATCCGTCTTAGTGATCCATCTACCGCGATCCGTCATAGCGATCCGTCATAGCGATCCGTCATAGCGATCCGTCATAGCGATCCGTCATCGCGATCCGTCATAGCGATCCGTCATCGCGATCCATCGACTGCGATCCGTCATTGCGATCCGTCATTGCGATCCGTCGACTGCGATCCGTCATAGCGATCCGTGACCGCGATTCGTCATCGCGATCCGTCATAGCAATCTGTCATAACGATCCGATGACCGCGATCTGCCATCGAGATCCGTCATAGCAATCTGTGACCGCGAATTGCCATCGAGATCCGTCATAGCAATCTGTGACCGCGATCCGTCATAGCGATCCGATATATGTGGTCCACACATTGAGATCTGATTTTTTTCGAAAGGGCAACACGTGGCAGTAGATCCTAGTCTACAGATAGGCATCATCGTAGTTTTTGTATGTGATTGGTTTACATTAATTAGAGCTCGATTTTACTTCTAAGACACGCAAGCTTCTCTTCCGGGTGGGATAACTTTGGCCCCCCGACGACTCAAGAGCACCTGCGACGCTACGACACAAGTGATATCTCTGGATTGTTTGGCTAGGGATTACAAGAATTATCAAAACAAACAACTACCCTGTGATTGGACGCAGCATAACAAGAAAAGGACAAGGTACAAGATCGCGAGACGGCTCAAGTGGTCAGAAGATAAGTATATCAGGTGGATCAAGTATCTACATTTTTGGACAAGGTGATCTCAAGAGAGATCAGGGTGACTCGGATAGAGCACCTACAAGAACCTCTTGACCTCATAAAGATTTCCGCACGGTCGACCCCCAACCTATTCCAAACACGGTTAAGTTCAGCATCGACTCAAGTCCACCGAGAAGAGTGCTACTCGCCCTACCGACGGGTACACAAGGTGAGGAAGGAAAGTTGCGCGGAAACGGAGTACCCCCTCCAATAGTCGGTTGTCTGGGCGCCAGTGGAGAGTTGGGATCACATCAGAAATTTTGTGAACCCCGCTCCACCACAAAAGCCTGAAATATGGTCCCTAGAATATGATGTTTGGCACCATCTTCATATCCATCACAAATTAATATCCTGTAACACCTACGTCTTCAATGAGTCTTTTGATATCGGGCAACTGTTCATTCCGACTACGAATAGCAGCCTCATGGAGAAGCCTTTCACTTGAAGCTCTTCAGCTTGGCAATGCCTTGATTAGCTTGGTCGTATCGTTTCAAAAGGAATGATCGTTGACGGTCATTCAATTCACTGAAAAGATATTTCACTATCGGTAATCATTACCATTAAAAGCTGTCGCTTATCGTTTTCCTCAGTTGGCCTCATTTCACGATCTACTTATGTTTTGTACCGAATAGGTTTTCAGTTTCGTGTTCGTCAAGCCAGTATTTATATAAATTACTTTTGTTTCTCTTCCCAAGAACAGATTGTTCACTCGCTACAGTAGTTGTCCAGAGACTGAAGTAAAAGTTGAGCAGACATTTTCATTGCTTTCATCAACACTTCCTTTTGTTTGTCCTCCAGGGCATTCAATTATTCTTTGCAATTTTTCAAGTGCGTTTTTATGGTTCTTGCTCTCCCTTCACAAAACGTTTTGCCATTGGGATTACAATGCTCATAACGAACCAAATAATATTGATTCTTATAGCTTTTCAAGTTTATCAAACAAATTTTACAGTTTTTATCGGATTGGGCATTTCCCCCCAGGTGGTTAATTGGTTGGTGGTTGAACAGCCGATATATTTTAACCTTTTACACGGTTATAACAGGGTTTAATGGGTATTTTAAAAACGGGTTTTTACCATTTGTGCCACCACTAGTTGTAACAGGGCATATAGTTACACGTAAACATTAAGAAATATACTTAATGTAAGGTCTAAATGTATTTATGATTACTTTTGACCTGTCACTTGAGTGCGATACACAAATGTGATCCTTACTTCCCAATTTGCGCCTTCGGGCAACAACGGATAGAGACGGAGACCTTCGAGATCCAGTGAACTGGTCCCCTTTTCTTGGATGGGGAGTCCCCCATAGTGGGGCCAAGGTAAAGGGGGGGTGAGGCCTTCTCCTCGCTGCGCGCGCTTTGGGAGGCAGCGTAGCTTGTGACCCGTAAGGGTAGCGGTCCGTAGGATATCCCTGGGTATTATGCCGTCGACAAAGCGTTGAGGTATCTAGCACCACGTTAGTACCTACCCTTCACGATCTAGCCCAAGCAGTCGACCCGTTCTCTGAGCGCGAATGCCGGTTTCACGGAGATAACTGCTTCGAGAGCCGCGACTAACACGTTGCGATCCAGTATCAGTTAGTTTTGTTGTGTATAGTAAGCAGCAGGCCATACGCTTTTCGTCCAGTGGTGTGTCTTGGCAACTCTGAAAACGATTGTAACCCGAGGTTGATGGGAAAAGCAGAGCAAGTCAACCTCGCGGAAGAGTCCAGGGATTACTTTAAGGTGTCTCATTGGGACTCTATGGTGGTACAAGACTTTCTTTAAAGCTACCACTGTCCCCTGAAAAAAGTCGCTTTTAGTGCTCGAGCAGCCC